CGCCCCGCCTCCCTGGCCTCGCGGCGCCTGCCTCGCCGCCCTTCGAGACCCTTCTCTCCTGGTGGTGCGGAACAGCTCGGGGCGGCGTGGGACGGTCGGACGGACCGGGGGCGGGGGGGGATGGAAAATCTGCCCCGGACCGGTGGGCATTCTATCTCGAGCGGCCGCGGGGTATATGTGCGCCGCCCCGGCATGGACGGGCGCACGTCCATCCCCATGCCCGGGGTAGACGTGTCTCGAACCCGGAAGACTCGGGGTGGTTCGCACACACGCACAACACACCCTAGACGACATGCGTGCTGACAAGAAGACTGGCGTGTGCCAGCTCGGCCCGATTGTCGAACAATCCCGTTGTCGGTCCCCAGCAGGGGCGGGGGGTGCAGGACACACGGCCGGGGGAAGAGACAAGAGAGACAAGGCCGGGAATCTCCGGGGCGGGGCGGAGGGAAAGCTGACCGAGTGCGAGGGTGTGTATGCTTCCGCCGGAAAGGAACAATGCGATATTCACGACATCCCCGGGGACTATTTCGCCGATAGGGCCCTCTGGCTGGGACATTATGTCGTCCCTCTGCCGCGGCCACCGCGGTGGCGTTGGAAAGACAGGAGGGGCCGACAGAGCGGCGGGGGGGGGTGCCTGCGCGTGCGCGCGCCCGGAGCCGAGGCCAAGGGCGAGGTGCGTAGGCAGCATCCGGGACCGCGCTCAGACGGGGTGGCCGGCCGAGAGGGGCTCAGGGGCTCTCGGACATATGTGAGCCTGGGACGGCGCTGGCTGGCGTCCTTGCCCGCAATGTGATGTGGTGCCCGGTCGGAGGGTCGGGCAAAATTCCGAGCGGCGTCCGCGCCGATGTTTCCCGAGCGACTGGTCCGGACAAGTTGACTGTCTGAGAATGTGCATGAGGGGGCGCGCGCTTGCCCACACTCGTCCGGACCCCCCGGGAGGGAGGCCCGTCGAGCGCACCGGGCGGCCATGGCACAAGCGGACCCGGGGACAGCGAGGGGCTGCGGAGGCCATTCGCCGGCGCCGGGGCAGGGGCCGGGAGGGGCGGGGGAAACTCCCGACGCACCTTTGCGCGGATCCTGCTGCGACAGTTAGTTTCCCTTTTTCGGGCCTGCCCCGTTCGGGCCGGCTGGCTGGCTAGCTGGCCGCGATAGCCGGGGGCGGGGGGGGGGGGGCGGGCCAGGCTCGGGCGTATGTTTTTAGGCCGGGCCGGCCCTGGACCTTTGTCGGCACCCTTGCCGGCTTACCAACTGGCTGGGCATTTGCGCCCGGGCTGACGATGCCCAGGGAGCTGGATCCCCCCTCGGCCCCGGGTGTTGCCCCTTGCCCGCGAGTAAGCGGCCCGCCGGGTGAGGGTAAGCACCACACCGCCGGGAGGGGGCTTGGAACTGGCGCGTGCTCGTGCGCGCGTACTTGGCCATTTTCGGTACTGTCCACTCCCCCTGGCATTCCCCCTTTCTGGACCGGCATTCGCCACCGGGGCCGTTTCACGGAAAAGCCCAACCCGTCCGGCGACCGGCCGGCAGCGCCTCCGAACCTTTCTCGCCGGGTCATTTTCTCCCGAGCCCTCCCCCGCGGTGTTCGGCGCCGGACTCGGCTGTGCTGGCTGCGTATGTTTGTGTGTGTGTGCGTGTGTGGGTGTGGGTGTGTGTGTGTGTGCCGGGGCGGGGGCAGAGGAGCCTGGCGATGAGAGGCGAGAAAGCTACGCCTGCGCGGGCCGGCTGTCGCCCTTCTGTCGTTGGAGCCCAGGCGAACAGGTCTCTTCTCCACCCCCCCCCCTACCGCTGGGCCTCGCCCACTGTCGCTTTTGAGGATTCCCTGGCCCTTGGCGAGGCGGCATCCCCCAAGTCCGGAGAGAAGGAGCTCCCCCCTCTCACCCCCCCTGCCTGTTGAGTGCCTTGGACATGTCCAGGTGTGTCGCCCGTTCGCCGCCGCCCGACCCCCGCCCCCCGTTCGCGTGTCCGTTGTCTCCCCACCTCGGGCCCCGTCTCATCCTGCCAACGAGGACATTCTCCCGCCCTGTGCTTGCGCTCCGGCCCCCTCGCCCCTCACCCCCCCCCCCCCCCCGGCCCCCGCTGCCCTCGTCGAAAGCTATATAAGCCCGCCTGGCTTGGCCCCCTCGTTCAAGATGAAGTACACCCCCGCCACCTGGAAGATTCACTTGTTCTTCCTTCTCCTCCTCCTCTCTCTCCTGTGCACGCTGCTCTTCGGCCCCGTGTCGACTCTTGCCTGCCCCTCCCCCGCCACCACCACCACCCTCATCATGTCTGCCCCCATCAAGGTCGTCGTCTTCCTCGGCTCCGTTCGCGAGGGCCGCAACGGTATCCGCCTGGCCAACATGATCCTCAACACCCTGCGCAACCGCAACATCGATGTTGAGTTCGCCGACGCCGCCGACTACAACCTGCCCGTCTTCCAGAAGTACGGCTTCCAGTACACCGCTGAGGACCTGTCCGACACCCAGACCTCCAAGCTGGCCGCCCTGCGCAACCACATCCGCGAGGCCGACGCCTTTGTCGCCGTCACCGGCGAGTACAACGCCAACCTGCAGCCCGGCCTGCTGAACCTCATCGACTCCTTCGTGCCCGATGACTATGCCAAGCGCCCGGTTGCCATTGCCTCCTACTCCATTGGTCCCCTGGCTGGCGCCCGCACCCACGGCCTGTCCCGCGCTCTGTTCGGCAACCTCGGTGCCTTTGTCATCCCCAAGATCGTCGCCGTGCCCACCATCCACGAGGCCATCTCCGAGGAGGGTGCCGATCTGACCCCCAACAAGTTCCACGAGACCGCCATCGGCGACCTCATCACCGAGCTCACCTGGTATGCCGAGGCCATCGCCGCCAAGCGCAAGAACGACTCCGCTTAAGCGTCTCGGCGCCCGACACATATGACAGCCACATGCGTGCGTGTCCCCCCCCCCCCCTCCTTCTCTCTCTCTCTCTCTCTCACTCCATGGGTGTGCATCATGAACACGGTGCTCCCGGGGTGGTGGGGACGGGCGGGAGGGGAGGCGGAGGGGGGGGGGGGGCCTGCCGCAAGATGCGCTCCCTCTCTCCCTCCACTTCCGTCCTAATTGGGAGCGTGCAGGCCTGTGCGCGCGTGCGCGACTTCGCGCATGTATGCCGCGCCCCTGCGATGCTCCCTCTGTTGGGCAACGTGAATCGGGCTCGGAGGCGTTTGTGCGCGCCGATGCCCTTTTGCCATGTGCATGGGCGGCGGCCCCCACACACAGACACCCTCAGAAAAACGGCCATCTTCCCCCCAGTAGAGTCCCCTTCTTTCTCCCCATTCCGTAAGTGTCCTTGCTTTCAAATACAAATATCTCCTCATTCGTGGTCTCGATTCCAGGGCGGGGGCGGGGTGGGCCTCGTTGACTTGGTGGATGGGGGGGGGGGGGGGGGAAATGCCCCACTGGCTGGAACTCATGATGTGTGGCGGCTTCGACGGGGTCTCCTCGCAGTACTCGAAAAGCCAGGGAGATAGAGAGACATATTGGTGTATGTGTGCGTGTGTGCATTTTTCTGGGGGGGGACGAAGAAAGTCCGGGGGCGGGCCATCGGGAGGAAGTTCGAGGGTATGTCCAGATGGCTGTGGTATTGGTGTGAATGTGCCCCCCCGGCCGCGTGGGAACTGCTCGTAAATCTGTCTCCCCTCCCCGATGGTCCTCGACCAGTGGCGGAGGCTGGCCAGAGCGCACGCTGATACCAAGCCGCTGAGGGACAAATTCCCCCCTCCTTTGGGGAAGAGCAGAGCAGCAAGAAAAAAAACAGGACGCTGGGGGGGGGGGGGGGGATGGCGTGGAGGAAAGAGAGATCCATTGGCCCGGGGCACAAGGGGCAGCCCATCATCAAGGCACAAGGCAACAACATAGGATCACCAAGGGCTCATGACACACATGTGGCCAAGAAGAAGCAGTCTGCCATGGACCCCGGTCACTGCCTGCCGGGCAAGGATCCGGGCCGGGGAAAAGGGAGGGGGAGACAACACAGGCATGGCACGAGCAAAAGAAAAAAAAAAAAAAAAAAAACCCTGCGAGAAAGGAGAATAGTGTACATTTGGGGCCAGGCGGCGTGGCAAGAACAGGAGAGGGACAGGCAGAAAGCGGAGGAGGGGGACCGGTGAGAGGCAACCGCCCCCGCCCTAGATGAAGAGCTTGTTGATGGAGGTGTTGGCGTCGGCATCACGGCGCATGACCTTGGCCACGGCAGCCTCGAAGTCGGCATGCGTCACATGAAGGCGCCGCTCGCGCAGGGCCACCATGCCCGCCTCGGTACAGACACCCCGGCACTCGGCACCCGACGCGCCCGGCATCTTGGAGGCAATGGCATTGAGATCGATGTCACGCGCGAGGTTCATCCGACGCGAGTGAATCTTGAGGATATCCACGCGGGCCTACGTCCAGGCAGGGGGAGGAGGGGGGGGGGCAAAAGAGAGAGAGAGAGAGAGAGAGAGAGAGAGAGAGGCGCAGTTAGTTGCAGGCCCATTGGTAAACAAAAGCCAGCCCCCGGGGGCCGGGGCGAGCGCGCGGATGCACATCCCCACCACACAACCGAGGGGAGGGGGGCAGTACGTACGGCATCATTCGGAGGGGGGAATTCGATCTTCCGGTCGATACGACCAGGCCGGAGGAGGGCATCATCCAGGATGTCAATGCGATTGGTGGCCATGATGACCTTGATGTTGTTGTTGGGCTCGAAGCCATCCAGCTGGTTGAGCAGCTCCAGCATGGTCCGCTGGACCTCGCTATCGCCGCCGCCCTTGCCACCGCCGCCGCCATCGCCACGGCTGCTGCCGATGGAGTCGATCTCATCCATGAAGATGATCGAGGGGGCATGCTCACGGGCCAGGACGAAGAGCTCGCGCACCATGCGCGACCCCTCGCCAATGTACTTCTGGACCAGCTCGCTGCCGGACACGCGGATGAAGGTGCACGCGGTGTGGTGGGCCACCGCACGAGCCAGCAGGGTCTTCCCGGTACCCGGCGGGCCATACAGCAGGACACCCTTCGGCTGGAAGATGCCCAGCGCCTCGAAGAGCTCCGGGTGCTGGATCGGCAGCTCGATGACCTCCTTGATTTCGCGAATCTGCTTGTCCAGGCCGCCGATCATGTCGTACGTCGAGTCGGGGACCTTCTCCACCATCATCAGCGACACAAGGGGATCAATCTTGTTGGGGAGGATCTGCAGGGAGGGGGCAAATGCAGGCGAGGGAGGAGGAGGAGGAGGAGGAGGAGGAGGAGGAGGAGGAGGAGAGGTCAGTCGAGGGGGAGAAGGGCCGAGGGGGGGGGGGGGGGGGCGGAGGGGGGGCGGTCAAGAGGATTCGGACCTTGTGCAGGGTATAGCTGTCGTTGCGCAGGGCCACGCGCGTGGTGGCGGTGAGCGTGGAAATGTCGATGGCCTTGTCGACCTTGACAAGGTACTTGCCCTCGGGGTGGACCTGAAAAGGGCAGCGGAGATGGCATGAAGAGTCAGGCCGATTGGAGGGGCACAAGAAAGAGCAGGGGAGAACAGCCGGCAGGGGCAGGGGAGGAAGAAAATAGGAGGCGGCCCGAAAGCACCACACGCACCTTGACGAGAACACGATCTGAGCCCATGACCTTAACGACCTCGCCAACGTAGGAGCCGGGCTCCTGCAGGAGCTGGAGCTCCTCGCGGAGGCTGCGGACTGCGGGAAATATGCAACGGGGGGGGGGCAGGGCAGGGGGAGATGCGGGTGAGAAGGCGCATTTGGGCGGGAGCCGGGCGGAGCTAAGACACAAGGCCCTGGTGCCTGGGCATACCCTTGGAGTTTAGCTCGTTGCGCTGGGCCTCCAGGCGCCGGAGGTTCTGGGTCTTCTCATGGATGGCCACCTGCAGGTCCTCAATGCGTGACCGGAAGTAGGCGGCCAGGTCGTCGGAGTTGGCGCCGGCGGCATCTGTGCCACTGGGCACAGCCGACGCGAGCGACATCGCGAGGGACGACATGTCTCTGGCTCTGAAGGGGCGGCGTCAGACGGCGGGAGACGGGCGAGGTGGCTTGAGCGACACAATATATGTGGAGGGGGGGAGGGGAGGCAGCTGGGTGTGTATGTAAATAAATTGGGCAAAACCCTCCGGACGGAAGGAGTCGCAAATGAAGCCTCCCGGCTTACCGGGGGCAATACTGGCAGCTGACTAGAGACTTGTCGCCCCTCCCTCGGGGCCGGGTCGAAGCCGGGGCCGAAGGGACGGGGGCGGGGGCGGGACTGGAGTCCCGGCATCAGCCTGATCGGCCCGCGAGAAACATGCGCTCGCCGCAGGGTCGTCACTTCAGGCCCCGCCGGCGGCCTGTCTCCCATGTCGGGGCTTCGGGCTTCCTCAGTGGGCTTCGTTCTTCCCCGGGCCCCGCCCCCGGGCCCCCGAGCTCAGCGCATGCAGGCCCTGATGTTTCTTCACCCCCCCAGGGCTGGCAGTCCACGTCAGGAAGCCGGTGATGCAACGGCACAGGCACGCGCGCGCTGGCAGCCAGCACCAACCGGGCAAGATGGTCGGGCTCGGGGGGGGGGAGACAAGGGGGCTTCGAGCAAGTTCCACTTGGCATGCTGCTGTGCAGCCACCCTAGCAGGCCCCGTTCCCTCGCTGCGCCTGTCCCCGTCCCCTCGCCTGGCCCTGACCGGCGGGGATCCGGGCGCGAATGTGATGAGGGAGGGGGGGTGGGGCGGCGCGGCGCGGCGCTATCGGTGTCGGTCCGCGGGGATATGGCTCGGGAGCCGCGCGCGGCGGCCGTCGAAGTGGCGGAGCCCAGGGTGGCCAGTCGATTTGGTTGTGGGTGGCAGGGGTGGCCCTGGGGTCCCGGCGGCGCCAAGCTGGACTGGCTCTTCCCCTTTGGTGGCCTCTCTCTCCGGGCACGGACCGCCGAAAGGTGTCACCGGCCCCGGATCAGTTGGCAGCAAGTGGTCCAGGCGGCCGTCCCCCGGGGGGCGGTGATGCTGACGGTCCTCTGGTCGTAGGCCGACGTGCGAGCACCGCCCCCCCCCCCCCCGCTGGCCAGTGCGTGGCGCAAGCCGCCTCCAAGCATGTGTGTGTGCGTGTGTGTCACTCTCCCTCTCTCGAGTGTGGCCACTTTCGCTTGTGCCAGCAGCCAGGGCTGAGGGCGGGGGGGGGGGGGGCCGGAGCCGCAATGCCGCGCACGATGGGAAGCTTGGCCGCAGGAGGAGAGACACGCTGAGCGATTGGCCCGTCATGTCCTCCGGCCGTAAGCCCCCCCCCCCCCCCCCCTCCCTCCCCCGCGCCTAAAGCCGGCGTCTCTGCGGCCCGCGCCCATATTGTCGCCACCTTCCGCCGGCCATTCTCTCTCATGCGGCTGACCATTCGGGCTCGGAGAGCGGGTCTTTGAGATCCTCGGAAACAGCCGGCCTCAAGCAGCCGACACCCCGACATCGGCTGGGGCAGGCCATGCAAATATACGCATCACACACACACACACACCCTGGTCCGCCAGCAGCTGGCCCCATTTGGCTGGGTGTGAGACGTGTCACTTTCAATTTCCGGAATTAGGCTGTTCTGGGGAGGGAGACCGCCCGTTGTGCCGGAGCTCCCCTCTCGCAGACCCGCTCAATTCTTGAGATCGAACCTGCACGCATGTGCACACGCACACACACGCACACACGCACACACGCACACACACACACATACACACACACCCGGACGGATACGCACTTGCACTTTTCCAAAAAGAAAAATGCCTCTGGTTGCGGCTGCCTCCGACTCCTCCTCTGGCGTGAGGCACACAAAAAAGTAGACACATAAGGAGGGAGAACCCGAAAAGGTGGAATTAATATTTTGCACGGTATATATTTTAGGGATCACGCGGGGAACTGTACGCATGATGCCCTACAAGGACAGGGATTGGCCCCAGGGATTTCAGGCTCTGCGGGGCTGCTCAGAGGGTGGCGCGCAGATGTGCGTGCGTGCGTGCGTGC